GGTGTTCTCGCGTTTTCTGATAGGACCATCACTATGCACGTGCTACCTTTTCTCACATGCACAATGCGTCAGCGCGTCAGGGCGCAGCCGCCAGCGATTGCTGAGTGCGCTGTGTCCGCTCGGACACAGCGGATCACGGAAAGAGCCAAAGATGTCGGCTCGGTCATGTGATCAGCTGTGTCCCAATCACAGCTGAGTCACATGTACAAACGGAGAATGCTGGTTATTGGCATTTCTCCTCCTCTCGTGCTGTCACGCTGACAGCTCGAGAGGAGAGAAGAGCCGGTAATTGGCTTTCCGCGTGAGGGGACATGTACACTGATCATCAGGGGACACTGATGATCAGTGTGGCCCCAGAAGTGCCACCTGTCAGTGCTCATCAATGCTGCAGACCAGTGCACATCAAATGCCACATATCCAGTGCCCATCTGAGCTGCCTTTCAATGTCTAGCCCGACCCATCAGTGCCACCCCTATCAATGCCTATCAGTGCCATATATCGGTGTCATGCATCAGTGCTGCCTTTCAGTGCCCATCAGTGATGCCTGTCAATGCCCATCAGTGCAACCTACCAGTGGCCTCCTCATCAGTGCCACCTATCAGTGCCCATCACTGCAGCCTCATTAGCGCACATCAGTGAAGGAGAAAAATCACTTATTTACAAAATTGTATAACAAAAACTAAGAAATTATGTTTTTCAAAATTTTCAGTGGTTTTTTTGTTTAAGAAAAAATAAAAATCCCAGGAGGTGATTACCACCAAAAGAAAGCTCTGTCTCAAAAAAAATGATAAAGATTTGTCAATATGTTGCATGACAAAATGTGACAGCGCTGAAGCTGGAAATTGGCCTGGGCAGGTAAGGGGGGTGTAAGTGCCCTGTAGGCTAGTGGTTAAAGAAGTCTATCCTGCTTTCTAACGTAGTAAACTGCCTGTTTTATTTCCTCCATCAGCTCATCCCCCACAGCCTATTACCTTTTGTATCACTCAACCCTTTCTCCTAGACTGTAAGACTCTCAGGAGCAAGGGCCCTCTGTTTCCTCTTGTACCAAAGTGGTATTGTAACTGTAATGTCTGCCTTTATTTTGTAAAGCGCTGTGCAAACTTACCAATTCTTAGATGTGTTGGCTGCGTTAGTTTTATTGTTTTTTAGCCTGGTGATTTGGCCAGCAAGTCTGTTATTTTTTCAACTTCCTTTAACAGACCAGGCTGTCTAGATGTATATTGGCAGATAGAGAGACGAAACCATTTAATGCTGACAAGGGGTGCTTACAATGGCCAGCTTTTATTGTTAACTGCTGAGGCCTCATGCACATCATCGGATATTTTGCCAACTTTCCTAGAAGACCTTTCCTCCTGGCAGCAATAATTTGGGCAAAAAAGGCACTTGATGCTTGTAAACGTGTGTAACACAATTAGGCACATCAAGTGCTTGACATCACAATTAATTTCATTCATTTTGGCCATTGCACTAAATGCTCAAGAAATAGACGTAGTCACTAAAACGGTCAAGCACTAGGACGAACGTTTACAGGTGTCAAAATTTGTTTTCCTACCACAACACGCTGCTGCTGTCCTGGTTCGCACTTGCATTTTTTTTCTCTGCCTCTAAAAGCCGTGGGGGGTTGATTTACTAAAAGTAAATATACTGTGCACTGCAAGTGGCGGTTGCTTTTAGATCCAACAGGAAGCTCTGAAATGAGGCAAAGCTCTGCTGATTTCTTTCATCCAATCATGTGAGCTAAAATGCTGGGTTTTTTTAATTTTTCCTTGCATGTATCCCCTCAAATCTAGAGCAACTGCACTTTCTGTGCACAGCCTATTTGTCTTTTCAAAAATCAACCTCATAGTGTGCATAGGCTAACATGGCTAGAAGAGTTTAGAGGCAGGAAAAAAACATGTCTGACGTCCCAAGGAGAGCAGCTAAAAAACCAACCAGTATGCATGAGGCCTAACAATTGCAAGTGTGTTTATGATAGCTGTGACCAAATTGTCAAAAAAAAAAAAAAAAAGGTAAAGCACCCCCTGTGAATACACACAAATGCAAACTCATTGTAGGTCTCACATGCCATATGTAAACCTGCGATCATACCACACATGGAAGGTATCATTATACAGTATTTATAATAGCGCCAACAGTTTGCTCAGCATCACCAACATTGGAGTGAGAGCCATAATTCTAGCTCCAGACTATCCTGTTTCACTCTAAAATAGTAATCTACAAAGGACTTTTAAAGCATTGCCCTATGGATAATTTAATGCACCATACTTTTCTAATGGGCAGGTTTTTAAAAACCGCATGCCGCCCAGACCACTGTACATATTACGGCGGCAGGGCGGCACCTCACAGGCAAAACCACATTTTAAGAAGTGTGTTTTGTAAACAATATAGGGGCGTGCCGCCGCCCTATTTGTCCCGTGGATCACCGCCGCAGATGTCAGTCGCCGGGTCACACGCCGCTCCTTAGCGGCTATAGTCCCGGCGATCAGTGGCAAACAGTGACGAGAGAGCACAGCGTTCAGTAGCCGTGCTGTCTGTCACTTCCTTCTCAGCTCGAGGATGAGCTGATCGAGAAAGAACATTTTCTCTTTCTCGATCAGCATTGTACCCCTCCCAGTACACACCTCCGCCCCCTAAGTAAAACACTCCCCTCACCTCCTATAACCCTTCCTCTGCAAAATAAAGTTAACCCCCTTTCCTCCCCATTGGCCATTAGTTACAGTGTCAGTTTTTTTTTTTTTTTGCACTGATTCACTGTATTTAGTGTTTTTGGGTTATGTCACGTGACCCCAAGTCAGTACCTGACCCCCCAATGTCAAAAATGTCCGCCGCAGTCCCGCCATAAAGTCGCTGGTCGCTGCCATATAGTCCCTGATCACTCGCCATTATGTATTTGTAAACGCTATAAACTTTCCACGTAAAACCAATTAATTTTACACGTATTGGGTTTTTTTTTTTAGCAAAGACAAGTCGCAAAATGCATTTTGGTAGAAATTTATGACTAAATTTGATTTTTTTTTTTTTTACTGGACAATGTTTTATAGCAAAAAGGTCCAAAATATTGTTTTTTTTCCTCAAAATTGTCAGCCTTTTATTTTTATGGCGCAAAAAAATAAAAAAAACCGCATCAGGTGATCAAATACCACCGAAAAGAAAGCTCAATTTGTGGGGAAAAAAGATGTAAATTTCATTTATGTACCTAATTGCATGACCACGCAATTGTCCGTTAAACTAGCGCAGCGCTGTATAGCAAAAAAAATAGCGTAAATTGCAGTATTTATACCATAGTTTGTTAGATCGCTATAACTTCCACACAAAGCAATTCAATATACACTTAATTGGGATTTTTTTTACCAAAAACGTAGCCAAATACAATTTAACCAACTTTGAGTTGATTACTATATATTTTTTATAGCTGAAAATAAAAAATATTGTTTTTTCTCTTCAAAATGTTTGGCCTTTTTTTGTTTATAGTGTAAAAAAAAATAAAAAGCGCACAGGTGATCAAATTACACCGAAAGAAAAGCTCTATTTGTGTGAAAAAAAAGGACGTAAATTTCGTTTGGGTGCAGCATTGCATGACTGCGCAATTATCAGTTGAATTAGTGCAGCGCCGGATAGTAGCAAAAGAGGCCTGGTCATTAAGGGGGGAAATCCTCTAGAGCTTCAAGTGGTTAAAGTGTGACAATGTTAGGTATCACCATTTAATCAGTATAACACAATCTTTTATATTTTACCAAAAACTTGGTATTATGTTGGGTTGTCTGTGACATAAAAAAGTGCAATAACCACCATATTAAATTCGCCAAGGCCTCTGCTGTTGAAAAAATATATTTAATATTTGGGATTGTTATAAGTAATTTCTATCAACAAATTGCTGATTTTCACTATGTGTGAAATGTCAGAATTGGGCCAAAGGGTAGAAGTAACATTTTGTTCTTTAACTCAAAAGCAATGAAAATAAGAGTATAAACATACCATTTGCTGTAATTGAACCATTTTTTTTTTTATAAATGCAGTCACAAACACTTGACTATAGAGCATTGCTCTCAGACTGTGGCTTAAGGGCTGGATGTGGCCCCCCCCTTTTGGTTCACTTATTCTTCCCATTGATGCCAGACACAATTTTCCTTCTCACTGACACCAACCAAAAGAAGCATAATTCCTGTTACTGACAGCTGGGCATATTTTCTCCTATTGACACACAAGGACTGGTGCCCGAGCAAAAAACCATTTCTTATTCATTGCCCCATAATGCCTCAAAGACTCAATGTTTTATTCCGCGCTGACGCCAGCACAATTTTGCTCTCAAAATGGCCAACAATGCGCCCCCCCGTTCCAAGTAGGGAGGACTAGTAGAAATGGCCCTTTGTGTTTACAATAGTTTGGAGATCCCTGCTATAGGAGGCTACCATTTGCTGATTCTTTAAAAAATACTTAGCTGTTGTTGCTTCACCCCCACTGGCATCTTTACAGTTCTGAGTTCACTTGAATGGAACAGGCAATGCAGATTAGGCAAGACAGTGAAGTAGCGGTTTTTGGTGTTATTGGCCATGGCATACTGCAAAAAACTAATAATTTGTACAGAATGAAAAAGCCAACAATGGAGAACCTTAAAGTGAGAAATATTCCATATTTCGAAATATAACAAAACATGTTCCATAATACGTTGACCTGTCATCTGTAGCAGTGGGTTTTGGCACAGAGCAGCCCTCTGATCCTTCTCTTTTTTGGTTCCCGCTGACGCTCCTGGGCCCCCTCCCTCCTGTTGCTGTGCCACCAGAGCCGAAAAAGCTTGCTTATGGGGCCACCTCAAAGCAGGCATGCTTACTGAGCCTGCTGCTCTGCGTGTCCATTCACACTACAGACACTGTGGCTCGGGCCCCCAGCCCTTCCCTCTCGCCTAGATTGGGTCACTAACTGTGGTTGACAGTGGCGGGAGCCAATGGCTCCCACTGCTGCCTCAGCCAATCAGGGGTACGAGTCCCCGGGGAAAAGAGGTGTCATGGATAAAGCTGCTCAAGAGGGGGTTTAGGTAAGGCTT